AAGGAAGGAAGGAAGGAAGGAAGGAAGGAAGGAAGGAAGGAAGGAAGAAAAGAGAAGAGAAGAGAAGAGAAGAGAAGAGAAGAGAAGAGAAGAGAAGAGAAAAGAAAAGAAAAGAAAAGAAAAGAAAAGAAAAGAAAAGAAAAGAAAAGAAAAGAAAAGAAAAGAGAAAGGAAAGGAAAGAGAAAGGAAAAGAAAAAAGAAAAGACCCATGGACAGAAGTCCATGGGGTCACAAAGAGTCGGACACCACTAAAATGACTGACCAACAGCAATTAGGATTCCAGGTTCTAAATGATAAGAATACTCAATCTGAACTACCATATTACAGGGTTGTTATGAGAAAAGGGCTCTGTAAACTGCAGACAGCTATAGAAAGGAGGTCTATTAGTGTGATCTGTTAGGCTAGGAGTCAGGAGATCTGGGTTCAAATGCTGCCTCTGACACTTATTAGCTGAATGACCTCATGCCTATCACCTCTTCCTCTAAAACCTGTAAGCCCTTGGATCATAGCTATCCAGTTATCATATTTTATAGATAGGGAAACAGAGGCCCAAGGAAGTTGAGTGACTTGTCTAAGGTCATATATATCAGAAGAGGAATTTAAACCCAGGATCTTGGATTCCAGAGACAGAGCTCTTTCCACCATCCTATTATGACAGTTATAACCCATTACTAGACCTTGGGTCAAAAAAAGTCCATTGAGCAGGACAGGTTGATCTGGAAACAAGGGGTCACTATTCTGAGCTGAGGTTGCTTCTTATCCAATCCAGCAGCCTCTGTCTAAGCTGCACCTGGGGCATCTACCCAGTTTACCCCTTCCTAGTTAAAATAGCTTCCATATGATTGTGTCTAGTTTCCCCAGCAGTTGGAGGCGGTATAGTACAGGGGAAAGAAAACTAGATTTGGGGCCAAATGACCCAGGTTCAAATCTAGACCTTTCTATTCGTGGTCTGTCTGTCCTCCTCTAAAAAGTGACTAGGGTAGGAATAACCCATCTCCAAGGTCCCTTCTCCCACCGATGCTACAAAGCTTGGAACCTAAGGATGCTCATTTTCATAGAAGGAAAGGAAAGAATGACTCTCTGGGGACCTGAGAATCTTGGTTTGCTTCATTCTCCCCTTTTGGGGCTCCCACCATGTTCCTCCCTAGATTGTGCTTCTCTCTAACTAGGCACTGCCTCCCTTGTGACAGTCTTTAAGCCAGATGGACCCTGGACATCTGCTCCCTCTTGTTAAGCCAGTTTAAGGCCATTCCTGTTGTCATCCTGCCACCATGTGGCCAGGAACTGTATGACAGCCGTGGGTCACATTCAGGCTAAGGGCACCCATAGGGAGTGATGCTAGAGGTGACTTTCTGGGTCATTGAGTCCAACCTTTTCATTTTACAGAGGAGGAAACTGAGGCCAAGAGAGGCCACATTGCTTTCCCAAGGCCACACAGAGTAAGTGGAAGAGACAGAATCCAAACCCAGGTTTCTGATAACAAATTCAGTATTTTGTTTGTTTTTATTTGAATTGTCTGTTCTTTCTTCAGCTATTTGTTGGGGACCTATTGTGCAGAGCACTGTGCTAGGGGATGTGGAGGATGCCAGTGGGAATAAGGCATTGCCCTTGCCTCCTGGGAGCCCCTACTCTAGTTGGGAGTAAAATATATCATCGATGCATTAGCAATGGAAATGACTAGCAAAAATGGGTTACCCTCCACCCCGCCACTACACCCGAGGGACTATTTATCCTTTTCATCCCCCTTGAAGTCAAGCCATCCCACGTGTGTTGTCTCCCCCTGTCAGAAGGGGAGCTCCTTGAGGGCAAGGTCTGTCTTGTGTCCCAGGTACTTAGCAAAGTACTTGGAACAAAGTCAGCACTTAAGAGTCAGCTTGTTGGTGGATATAGTCCTGGGTCTGGAGTCAGGAAGACTTGAGTTAAAATGCAGCCTCAAACACTTACTAGCTATGTGACCCTGGGCAAGTCACTTATACCTCCATCTGCCTCAGTTTCCTCACCTGTAGAATGGGGATAATAATAGCACCTACCTCCCCGGGTTGTTGTGAAGATCAAATGAGATCATATTTATAAAGTGCTTTGTAAACCTTAAAGCACTTTATAAATGCTAGCTATTATTAATCAATTTTTTCATTCATTCCTAACAATAACTCCCATTTATATAGGGCTGAAGGATTTACAAAACACCTTGCTCACAGCAAACCCGCATGGTAGCTGGTGTAAGAACCACTATCCCATTTTCCAGATGAGGAAAACTGAGGGTGAGAGAAGTGGTGTGATTTGCCTAGCGTCACCCAAATAGCAGGTATCAGAGCCAGGATTTGAAGCCAGGTCTCCTGACTCTCGTCTCAGTTCTCTTTCTATGGCAACATACTGTGTCTACATAGATCTAGCAAACTGCTTTGTATATCATAGGCAGTTACTGAGCATTTATTGAAGGAAGGAAGGAAAAAAGGGAGGGAGGAAAGGGAAGAAGGAAGGAAGGAAGGAAGGAAGGAAGAAAAAAGGGAGGGAGGAAAGGGAAGAAGGGAGG